ATAGCACCTACTTTTCTAACACCTTCAAACACTATATTCAATTTTGCCTTTGCTACAGACATGCCGATATGTTGTTGTCATAATGAATTGAGATTTCCTCAATCTATGTAGAATTCTATTTATTGATAATGTACTAACTGGATGCAATACTGTAGAATAAAAATGCTGAGAATTCCATTCTGTATCACAAGTACTGTTTTGGAATAAAGCAAATTATTATAATTATTATTATTAAGTTATGTGTCTAAATAACATTCTGCTCTATTCACTCAAAATTGTTGGTCTGATTATATATTTGTATATAATTCGGATGGTTGATAGGAAGCCCTGAACATAGGTTTCAAGCCCGTCAATACTCTTCAGCAAAGTGTATCGGCAATTTACACCAAAAACAAGGAATACACCCATGGCACTGGTCACTTCTTATTGACCAACCAATATACTCATTTCAGTCAAACAGAAGATCAGTCGTCAGCCCATGTAGCTCAGCGGTAGCGTCTCTAACTTCAGTACTGGGTGATGTACGTTCGAATCTCACAGAGCAGTTGTCAGTCCCTCCACGTTTGCAAATACATCTTGCTAGAGAGTGTCTACGAGAATGGTACCTAGGTCCATGGCTTCCTACCCGCTGCTACCGACCATCCGATACATATATATATATAATGGGTTTGCGTAATAAATCTTTGTTTTTTTCCATTCTTTACAGATTCATTTAAACAATGATTCAATGTACAATATAAAATATGTTCAATATTAAATCTTTTCAAGGATAAGCATACGCTACTCTCTTACACACTCACACCCATATACACACACATACACATACACATTTACTCACACGTAAATATCCACTAGAGACAGCTAATGAATAACACTTTTGCAAGTATATTTCCACCGGTCACAACAAGTTTAATAGCCATTCTAGCAACGACTGTTTCAACTGCAACTCTTGGCGGCAACATTGTTGTATTGATAGCATTTTTTGTTGAACGTTCTCTACGTGTACCAAGTAATTATTTCATTGCATCATTGGCTATGACTGACGTGCTGATTGGATTATTTTCTATGAATTTATTTATTACATATCAACTGTTAGGTTATTGGCCATTAGGACATTTAATTTGTGATTTATGGTTATCATTGGATTTTTCAGCATGTTTAACAAGTCAGTATACTGTATTCTTAATTACATTGGATCGTTTTTGTTCAGTGAAAATACCAGCGAAATATCGAAATTGGCGAACATTTAATAAGGTGAGTAATGTGAAGTGTATATCTCTTTGATGTTATTGTCAAGTGTTGGTTTCAAATGAGATTATTGTTATTATTATTCCCTTGGGTTCTGAGTGGAACATAGGGATGGCTTCATAAACATATCTCCACTTTGTTCTATTCTCTGCCGTCCTCTTCATCTGGGTTCACGATTGATCAAACTCTTTCATCTCGTCCTCGCACGATCTCTTCCATGTCACCTTCACACCAACGACCCACTCGTCGCTTCCTGTTGGGATTCCACTTGAGGGCCTGTTGTGCGATACCATTTGGTGGCCTCCTCAATATATGCCCGATTCATCTCCACTTTCTACTGCGTATTTGTTAGGCAATTGGCTCTTGGTTGGCTTGTTTCCAACCAGATTTTCTTCTCGCTGATTCTTTCTGGCCATTTGATCTCCAGGATGGGGACAGCGAAGGCAGCTGTTGATAAAAGTCTGCAGCCGCCTGTTGGAAACCTTTTTCGTGACTGATACACAGTGCAGTTTCTGACCCATATAGAAGAAGTGACCGACTTCACATTGGTGTTGAAAATCCGAATCTTGTTCTTTACGCTAACTGAGTGTAGAGGATTTCCAAACTGGTTTCAGGTTGATGAAGCCGTATCTTGCCTTTCCGATTCTGACTGGCTGGCTTTGACATCTTCATCCGTTCCGACTGCCTGTAGTTGAAGTAGTGCTTCCTAGATAGGTGAAGGGAGGAAGTAACCTCTGTTAAATTTCCCCCGTTTATGCTGATTGGTGCTAGTTGTCGTTGCTGTTGATTGGTTATTTTCATCATCTCCGTCTTCTCTGTGTTCTCCCGGAGTCCTGTTTTCGCCGCCTCTTCAGCCAATTTGTTGGTTTTAGCTTGCAAGTCTTCAAGTTTGTGTGACATTAGGCATATGTCATCTGCGGAAACCTGATCTTCTAGAGGGAGTCTTGTCATTGGTGGCCAGGAGTAATCCTGTCTCCTCCCTCCACACAGACTTCCGCATAATCCAGTCCCCCAAAATTAGGAATATCTTCGGTCATAACAGATAGCCTTGTCTTACTCCTGTATGTACTTCGAACGCCTCACTGAGTTTTCCGTTTGTGAATCACTTAACACGTGACATTGTCATATAGCTGTTGAATGAGGTTGACAAAAACTTGAGGTACACCGTAGTGTTGAACTAATTTTTAAATTACTTCTTGGTTACCTCTGTCCGTCGAAGGCCTTTTCGAAGTCGATGAAATTGTTGAGGTAGAGATTTGACTGCATTCTATGATTTGTTCGACGGTAATGTGTAGAGTTGCAATCTGGTCAGCACATGATTTGCCTTTCCTGAATCCAGATTGTTCCCGTGAGTGGAGGAGTCCTGTATCCAGTGCATGCTTCATTCTCTACAGGATGATGAGACTTAGTATTTTACTTAGCGCAGACAAGAGCGTGATTCCAGGCCAGTTCTTGCAGAGTCATCCATAAGTCGACCTTCTTTTGCAGCTTGAAAGGGAGCCAGTCTTCTTTCCAGTCGTTAGGTACCTTTCTTTCTTTCCAAACGTTTTGCAATAATGGAGTGAGAACATATGCCGTAATCTGTGCGGCCATCTTCAGTGCTTTGAGAGGAATGCCGTCTGTTCCTGCTGCCTTCCCGGACTTCAGTAGCTTAATCACATTCAAGATTTCTTCTTTCTTTGGAGAGGTGTTGTCCACAAAGTTTCTCTAGTGTTTTGGAAGATTTAATGGTGCGGGGTTCCTAGTCCCATGCCCAACCCTACCTATTTACCAGGGCTTGGGACCGGCTAGAAAACTGGCTAGCTAGGTGTTATCTGTTCAAGCAGCATTCAAAAGCAGGAAGTCCTGAGCAGATGTTTTTTGACCCCACCAGGAATTGAACCCAGGACACTCTAGCCATCAGTTCACAATATATAGCATCAACTCCAACTAATGTTACCGGTGAGTATTTGTCCTCACACCCAACTCAGTGAATCTCACTGGTCATAACTTCTCACTCAAACTCCAGTGACTTCATGATGTAATTAGTCAATAATAAATTGGTTTTCAGAAATTCCAGTTGGAGTGATAGCAGTTACTGAATAGTCGTTATGTTCATATCGTCTGTTCCATTTTGCTTGGTTTTAACCAACTGTATAAACGCGCCTCCTCATAAACCATTGTATTAACAGTATCACTTACATAATTATTATTACTCTCTCCTTTGGGTTTCTCATGTAATCTAGGGCTTCATCAGCACATCTACACCTTAACATGTTCTCTGCAGTTCTTTCAAGCTGGCTACACCATTGCCTATGAGGTTTCATTTCTTCTGAATATGATCTTCTATCTATCACCCTTGAACTGCTGCCCATCAGATCGTTTTCCATTAGGGTTCCACTGGGGTGGAGGCCTGGTGCTTTGTGATGTTCCCCACCGGTCTCCTTAAGGATGTCTGATCTATCTTCATATCCTTATAGGAGCTACAGAAACAATCTGATGCTCCCTAGTGATTAGCTACAGGAGGAATTTGTTTGGAGTTCTAGTAAGAAGTCGTAACCAGTGACTGGTATCCACCTAGTCAGGAGTAAGAACATAGTTTGGTAGTTCCACTAAAATACTAAAATCACGAAATGGTAGAAGTTAGATTTCACGGGCTGGCGATTGAGCCGGGTCCCAATGGCTTAATGGGCTACGAAGTTGCCTTCTGACTTGAAGATCCTGGTTTCGAAACTTGGTGAATGCGTACTGATGATGAGTCCCAAACTGGGACAAAACGACTGTCCAGTACTCCGTGGTTTTCCATGTTTCTCAATGTTTCAATCCGTGATCAAACTTCTAACACCAAAATTATTGGTGCTTGGTAGTATAAATACCAATCAATAACGCCAGCATACTAGTGAGTGACTGTCATAAATAGTTGAATAACACTCATATCAGCCAGTAGCGATTTGATTCAGACGGAGTACATCTCTGATGACCTCGGCTCCAAATGAGAGAAACAGTTATCCGGTGTTTAAATCACCTTCATGTGGCTAACAAGCACCACTTTTTAATGTGAATGGTGTTCATCTACTTATTTGAGCCAATCAGTAGTATACAATGACGTCATAGAAACGTTTGAATAATTGATTTTTTTTCATTTCTTTGCATTTTGAGTGGAACAAAAGGTTTTGAGCTTTAGCTTTGAAGTTGGAGCGGTGAAGTTAAACAACAGCGTCCCAGGGATGCGAACGCTATAATGATGTTGGATGCAAGCAAGCTAGTCGTTGGCTTACGATACCTGTCGTTATTATAGCACAAATATAAACGCTATTCACCAACTAAGGCGAAAATTTCACCAAAATCACGTAGGTATTACGGTTAGGATTAGGATGAGGATTATAATTAGTTTTAGGATTAAGGTTAGAGTTAGTGTTAAGATTAGAGTTAGGGTCAGGATTAAGGTTAGGGCTACGAGTATGGTTACATTTATTATTAATATTATCATTACCTCCCTTAATTCCTAGAGGAACATAGGGCTTCTGACGCTCTTCTCCATTGTGTTCGGTTCTCTGCTAACGTTTACACCTAGTTCCACGTCTGCCCACATGCTTTCATCTTCTCTTCAAATGACCTCCTCTATATTACTCTTGCATTGACAACCATCTCGCCGCTTCCCATTCGGGTTTCACTCGAGTGATTGCCTGGAGTGTGATGTCACTTGATGGTTTTCTTCGAGTATGGCCAATACACCTCCATTTCTTCCTGCTTATTCGTTGCACAATCGGTTCCTGCTGGGTTGGTTCTCCCCAAGGGATCATTGTTTGTTGATCTTTTCTGGCCGGTCATCTGATCTTGAGTGAAGTACTGAGCGAAGACAGCTGTTGATGAAAGTCGGTAGTTTTTTCGAAGTGCCTTTTTTGACGCGCCAGGTCACTGATCCATAAAGTAGCACTGACTTTACATTGGAGTTGAAAGCCCACATCTTGTTTTTCATGCTGAGTGCTATTGATCTCCACACAGACTTGAGAGAAATGAAAGCTTGCCTTGCTTTCCCGATGCTTGTTTTGATATCCTCGTCAGTTCCGTCCGCCTATAATTGAAACGATGCTTCCTAGGTAGGTAGGTAGGTAAATCAGGTTGCTTCCTTCAGGTTTCTCCCATTTATTCTGATTTTTGTCTGCTGTCTGTTGATGTTGCTGTTGCTATTGGCCATGAACCTTCATCACCTCTGTTTTCTCTATGTTCACCTGAAGTCCGATCTTCGCTGGATGCTTCCTCTACCAACTTGTTGCTTTTCACTTGCATACCATCCAGTCTGTGAGAAATCAGGCAGTCGGTGGAGTGGCCGAGCAGTCTTAGGTTACATTTAGAGTTGGCATTATTTATTTTGATTTGTTTTATTATCCACATTTCTCTACTAAGTATTCGTCGATCCTCCTGCTGAAAACTATAATAATTCAACCAAGGGCTTTCGGAGAAGACCGAAAAACAGGATAACAGCGATAAATGAGTCACAAAAACAGCTCGTCTTCGGTCTCCTCGGTGTGAACACATCTACAGAAACTGGTCAAACTTAAAACCTGATGTCCCTCATTTTAACTGAGATGTATTTTTATGTCATGTCAGGGAAAGATACCCTGTTTAATGTGTTTTCATTCACTGTCTTGTAAATAAACATCGATTTTTATGCAAAAATCACTTAATCTTCATTGTTAGTCGACTCAAGGACACTTGTGCGTTCGCATCCTTTGGGACATTTGAGTAGCGGTGGGATTGCTAGCATCCCACTCAACCTATCTCATTTCCTAGGGTTGGCTAGTAAAGCGATAGGCGACAAGGTTTAGGAGAGTGTATCGGCCACCTGCGAATTTTGACAAGCCTTCTCCTATCAATTCATTGATGCGAGAAAATCAGGAAAAATCATTATTTTTCAAATCATTATTTCTTGTTTAACTCTGAAAATTATGAATGAATACTTATTTATGTCTAGTCTCTCTTTCTTTCTTTCTTATTTTTGCCTAATTTTTATTCTTTGGAAATCT